TCTGATCTTATTAATGAATTCTTAAAATAATAATAACAATCATTCAGATTATTTATTTTCATTAGTAATAAGGCTTAATAATAATTTTCTCATTTTTATTTCTTAATTTCTTTTTTAGATCTTAATTATGTAAGTCAAGTTAATAATGTAATTACAAAATGTTAAGAAAATGTATTCCAATTATTTATAAATAATAGTTTCCTTTTCAAGATCACTTTATTATAACTTAACAAATGTTTTAAATAACACATCTAAATCTTTCAATAATACTTTTCATAATATATTTAAAATTTTTGATAATACATTTCAAAATAATATATTTAAAATGATTGATGATATTTATTATTCAAATATTATATTAACTTTACTTCTTTATTTTTTCAGTATCTTTTTGCGAAATGGATAATATTCATCAAATTTGTATATAACTTATATAAATTTTAATATCTTGTAATTTACTTATAATATGTATTTATTAATATAAATACCAGTTGCAAACTTTATTATATTAATATTAATTACTGTACCATAAGTACTAAATCAAGAAGATAAAATAATAATATAAATTATTTTCTATTTGAATTTATATTCCTAAAAAAATAAAAGTAATATATTTTAAAAAATAGATAAAGTTAGGTTGTGACTTCTTGGATAAATTAAAGTATCTTTTTCTTTATATTCAAAATCTATTAAAAAATATACTTGAAAAATTAGTATATATAATAATAAAATGTAAGATTAATTCAACTGAAGGTATTGAATGACCTTAAATTGCTAATAGAAACTTTAGCAATTTTTATAATAAGTTAGTTAATAGTATTAAAAGAATAGTTAATATTTTAAATCTTTTATATATAATCTTAAATTCAATAAATATTTTTTTTCTTAATTATAGAGATTATACTTTTATAATATCATTGTAAAAAGATCAAATTAAAAATTTATAGATAAAGGTACTACTATTTATATCTTACAGTGATAATTAAGTGTAATAAAAATATATGAATTATAGGTTTCAAAATTCATTATATATTTTGCATCATTTTATTTAAGAAATATTCATTATTAACTACATATCTAAAGATACTTAAAGAATTAAACTCTAAATAATATAATATAAAAAATTACTATGCTATTATAAAATAGTAAAATTTCAAAAGTAACTTAAAATTATAAATTTATTTTTTTTTTATAAATATATAAAATATTAAATGAAATCAATTAAATAAATTACAAAATTATTCTTTATTAATTTTATTAAATAATTTATTTGTTTTAAACTTTTAAAATATAATTATTAAATTTATAATTAAATAATCATTAAATTTTCTTATAAATTTATTATATCAATTTATTCTACTATTTTACTAAATTAATTACTATTAATAGTAAATTCTTAATACAATAAATTTTAATATAAAAAATTTTATAATATAAAAAATTTTTGGTATTTACAGAATTTTTTATATTAAAAAAATCTTATTATATTGAATTTACAGTAGTAATCATAAGTAAGTATCTTACCACTAATATTTTCTAAAATCAAGTAATAATATCAGTTAAAATTTTTCAAAATTTAAGTTCAATATCAATATTAATTACATATAAAATTATAGATTTGTATCATGTAAATTTACAAGTTAGATGATCAATAGATTTTATATTTAAAAAAAAATGACATTTTTTTATGTAAATAATTTCATTTTTTATTATTTAACACCTAAACTCCTTAAATACAGTATCTTTCATAATTATTGTACCACTTCATTTTTAATTTTTAGATTATGATATCTAAATAATTATATGACTATAAGGCTAAAATTTAAAACCAATTTAAAGCCTGTAATCAGATTTTTAATATATTTAAATTTAAGTATTACTTAATTTGTGACTTTTAAAAAATTTCTTTATATGCAATTTTTTCATGATATAATACTTTTGGAATCAAAATTAATATAATAAAGTTATGATCATGTAACGCGTCTTATACATATAAGTAAATTTAAATCAGTAGATCAATTTGTACGCCTTTCTTTTATTTTTTTTTTAAAATATATTATGAAGGTAATTCTACTTCATCAAAGGAAACATATATTTGCCTTATTCAAGAATGTTTACCAAGTCATACAATTGCTTTTTATGAAAATATAAGTCATACTTCTATAATAAGAATTAAATAAAGAAAAGAAGAAACAAGTAGCTTTGATATTATTCCAAAACTAGGCCGCCTAAGAATACTTACAGAATGTCATGATAGAAATATTGCCAGGCTTATTAAGTCAGGTGAATGTACAAATGCTATTCAAATTCAAAAATCTTTAATTTCTAATAAAAATATTATTATTTTACTAAATACTATTTGACGCTCATTAAAAAGGTAAGGTCTTGTAGCTAAAGTTAAAAAAAACTATTGCTGCTAAAGAAATATAGAAAAGCACGAAAAAAATTTGCTCAAAAATATAAGAATTGGACTATAGAAGATTGGCAAAAAGTAGTGTGATCAGATGAGAGTAAATTCTTAATTCTTAGCTCAGATAGGAGAGAGTGATATTGGAAAGATCCAAATTTACCATTGTAACCATAGTATATTAAACCAACTGTAAAGTTTGGTGAAGGTTCTGTAATAAAATGAGCTATATGGGTTCATTTGGTATTGGAAAATATTGTAAAATTGATGGAAGAATAGATAGAGAATTATATAGAGAAATTTTGGAAGATGAGTTTTTAGGGACTCTTAGTGTATGTGATTTGAATGTAAATGATATCATTTTTCAATAGAATAATAACCCAAAACATATAGCAAAGAAACATATGAGTGGTTTGATGATAATAATATTAAAATTTTAGATTAGCCAGCACAATCACTGGACTTAAACCTATTGAATATTTGTGGAATAAAATTGATCGTCATTTGCAATAGCTTCCTGATAATATTATTAGTGCAGAAGATTTGTGAAATAAGATACAATTAGTATAGAATCAAATTGATGCTGAATTTTGTTTAAAGCTAATTAATACTATGCCACAACGAGTTAAAGATATACTTAAGGCTAATGGGAGATATATGAGATAGTGATAGTTTTGTTAAAAAAATTATAGCATAGTTTGTTAAAAAAAATTTGAAAAATTTATGTTTTTGATTTTATTGTTATATGCGTCAGAAGTATTGTACCATAAAATTTATGGTTATGAAAGAATTTTTTTAAAATTATAAATAAAAAGAAATTTGAATTTGAATATATTATAAAAGAAGACTTAGATGATATATTAATTAAATCTGCAATATGTTTGATCATCAAATTTTTATTTATTATAATCTAAAAATTACAAATGAAGTGATACAATAATTATGAAAGTCACTGTATATAGAATTTTTTTAATATATTAATTTTTTAGGAGTTATTACACATTTTTTATAGAATTTTAAATAGATTATACAATTAGTTAGAGAATTTCAATAATACTGTATTCTTCCTTTTAATTTTTGAATAATGTTTGTATTTATTAACTTTTTGCCAAATTTACTATAAGTTATCTTTTCTAAAATATTCACAGATATAAGCCAAAAAGTCACTTTTATAAAAATTATATGTAAAATTAACATTAGATTTTTGCTGAAAGAAAATTGGTTTATCAAATCGCAAATCTAAAAAATCACTATAATATGGACATTTTAGCAAATATTATAACTTTTGTTTATTACTAAAATCTTTATTTAAATGATATTTTTAAATATAATAACATTATAATTTTATTACAATAGATATAAAGTAGCTATATTTTTGAAATTCCATTTCAGTCATTATTGAAATTTATATAAAAAAATTACTTTATTTAATTTATTAAAAAATATCAGTAGTTTACATGCAAAATTCACTGATTATCTAATTTTTGATTTATATGTTATACAAGCTTATAATTTTACATATGATCAATATTGGTATTGTATTTGAATTTTGAAAAATTTTAATGATTATTATTAATTAATTTTAAGAATTATGAGAAGTCAGATACTTATGACTGCTTCTGTACTAGTATAATAATATAAAAAGAAAATTTTTGTAACACATTATATTAAATGATACTTTTTATAATAAATTTATTTATAATAAATTTTTTTTATACAATGAAAAATTTAAAAGATAGATGTTACTTTAAAGAGAACTATTTCTATAAAAAATATTAGTAAATATACTCAAAGAAGCTTACTTATCCTAAGGAGAAGGAATTTAATATATCAATTAGTTTTTAAGGTCTAAAGAAAATCTGTTTTAAAAAAAGAAGAAAAGAATATTAATAAATGTTCTTAGAAAAACTTACTCATTCTAAGTAAATGAAATTCAACTTATTAGTTAGTTCTTAAAATCTAAAAAAAGTCAGTTTTTAAAAAAAAAAAGAAAAAATATTAGTTAACATTCTTAGAGTAGTCTATCTATTCTAAGAAGGAGAAATTTAATTTACCAATAAGTATACTAGGAAAGTGGAAACTGTTTAAGTCTGTTACATTTTAATGTTATACAAACTTTTTAGTTTTCATAGTGTCGATCAAGCAATTTATTAGAATATTATAGTATATGTTATTTGTTTAACTTTTGTATTAATATAAATATAAATAAATAAAATTTGTATCATTTTTGTAAATTTTATTTTATTATATATATATCTGTTATAAATCATTATTATAATAAAAATATTTTTTAATGATTATAATAATACAAAATTGCTTTAATATTAAAATATATTTCATTTATAATACTAAAAGCAGCAGATCGTTAACTTGCATTTACAAGTATTTTTGTTATTTTAATATAAAAATCATGTGATATCAAAGAATGTTTCTCAGTTAACAACTTGAATTACCTTTTTTTTTATTAAACGTTTCAAATTGCAAATATTTCTTTTATTTGCGTACATTTTTTAAATATTCTTTTATACTTGATATTTCATTTAATTTATTTAATAAAATTCACAATTTAATAATGTTTATATCTAATTACAATATGGTAAGATAGCTGATAATACTTAACATTTCTGATTGCACTTCTTTTTCTTGTCTTTAAAATCAATAATGTAAAACGTGCTTTATATATATAATTCATAAAACAAATTTCTGCGAATTCATTCAAAAAGAATGATAAAGAAAATAAGGCATCACATTCACGTGATACAGATAAGAAGCAAAAAGTGGCTGAAGAGGAGGTTCGGCGTACTTGTGTATATAAAAAATATTTATTAAGAAAGTTTAGAGAAACTCCTTAATAATGTATTGCAAGTCTTTTTAAAAATAGAATAACTCTATGCTAAAGATGTGATATAGAAGGTGTTTTAACTTCAGATCAGAAACTTCTAAAAAATTTTACAATATAATTAGTAATTTGAGGAATAATCTCTGTATCATATGTAATAAGCAATTTTTATCTATCGTACTTGCTGGTAAAGAATGCTTTCGATGCTGTAAAGAAAATAGGCCTAAAAGATTTTCTATTGAAAAAAATATGGATCTAGGTAAAAGTAAAACATTTTTTCATAATATAGACTTGAATTTGATGGACTCACATGATTTCACTTTTTTTTAGGCAAAGTTCCACAAGAACTTTGGGACTTAACTGATATAGAAGATGCTAATTACACAAATATTTCCTATTGTTTCAGTATATAATCTTCCTGGGAGACAGTACGCATATCATGGAAATATTATTAATTTTTTGCAAAATGTATAGAAGTTCATAACCTACCTTCTACGTGACTCATTATTGCTGAATTTGCTTGTTGTTTAGCATTATACTGAAAATGAATCCAATTTTCATGACTTTCAAGTTCATTAGGAAAAAGTAATGCGAGCTCTTTTGTGGTTAAAAGCCAATAATATATACTATCGTAATATTGATATTGATAATAATATTTTGCAAAAGTTATCTGAAAATAGATCAATTGCAAAGCAGCTCCCATAGGTCTCAAGTAATAAAGCTTATCATGAAAAGAAAGGACTAAATAAACAATACAAAAATGGAATTGAAGATAATGAAGCTCATTTTATCTCACAAACATTTGTTCTTATGTTACTTACTGAACATAGTAAGAATAACACAATTAATAAAATTTTCCATCGAATACAACATGATCGTTCTGTGCATGAAAATTAGCCACATAATGAGAATACTCCAGTTGATGAGTTTCATACTCCCAGATACATAGTATGGACATTTTCTACACTTTATCCTTGAGGTATCATAGACTACTATAAATATTAAGTAAAAGAAGTAAAACTGGCAGAATACTTTAAATACCTTTTAATCTACAAAGTTAGCCAGTTCGCTTGTCATCTATAATAGTGTTATTTTACATTAAATACAATAATGAGATGGAGAGTACTATCAGAAGGTTATATATTTATTTGACAAAATTTAAATGAAAGGTAACTTACCGTAGCTGAAATCTTGAATTTAATAGAAGCCAATAACAATATTATAGATTGAGTATTACATTATGATGAGGGATTACGTGATACTCATCAATATTGGATGCATCGTAGAACTGAATTAATGGATATGATAAAATAGGTGGGATCCCAAGAAATGGTATTCTTTACGTTTAGTGTAGCTGATATGCATTAGTCAGATCTACACAACCTCATGTCTAGCGAAAGAATTTCTATAAAAGCAGAATCAAATCAGGATACTACTAGACATTGACATAAGGATCTTATAGATAATCCTCATATTGCTGCATGGTTTTTAAAAAGCGATTTAAAGTTTTTTTTGAAAAGGTTCTTATACCTAAATAAGGATTAGTTGAGTAGTGGTATCACTTTGAATGGCAGCATCGTGATAGTGTCCATGTGCATAGTATTGTCAAGAGAAAAAATACACCTGAAATTAATTGGAAAAAAATGAGTGACAATGAGAAGATAATAGAAAATATTGTGTATTACTTAGATTCTTTAATTATAACAATCAATTTTAGTCTAGATATATCTTCTCCTGATCATCACCCATGTCAAAAATACCTTGAGAATCTCAATGATGATATAGGAGACTACATTGAGCTAATAAACAAATTACAGCATTATTCATGTTGTGGTTCCTACTGTTTACGAATTGATAAAAAAACTGGTAAACAGAAATGCAGATTTAGTTTCTCTAAAGAGTTAACAAGTCAAACAACTATTCAAAACAATAATGGTCATCTAGAGTTAACAACAGACAGAAATGATCCACTTGTAAATCCATATGATTGTATTCAACTTCAGGAATGAAAGGTAAATGTTAATTTAAAGCCTATTCTCACATAATATGCTGCTTTACAGTATGTTTTAAAATATGCTAGTAAAGCTGAGCCGCTATCTTTAGCTTTTCAGAAGTTTTAGATCAAGTTTTTCATAATGATAATTTAAATGATCTAAGTATTAAAGCATTCCAAAAGTTACTTATTTATACAGTAAAGGAACATGATTATTCAGCCTAGGAAACTTGCCAGCTTCTTCTTCAAATACCACTTTACTATAGTAGTAGAAATTTTGCTAGTTAAATCTTAATAAAAGGCAAATCGGTAACTTTATGACAGTGAATATAATGAGAACAATGAAGTTAAAAAAACAGATCCTTCATCTTTGTAAAGATATTGCAGTTAATTTACTGAATTGAGTGATATGTTATTATTTAAATTGTATCTGCAATATAAGTTAGTCAGAAGAGAGCAGGTAAAATGCAGCAAAGAAAACATTGTACACATCTGACCATAACCATTTCTAATCAAAAATGATCCTCAGTGAGAAGAATTTTATCGCGTAAAAGTTCTTTTACATGTTTGTTATAGAGACATTCTTAGCTTTACAGAGAATCACACACTTTTATAGATAGACTTATATAACCGTCATCTTTCAGAAATCAATGATGACCCTAGTGATTTAATTGGACCTGCTGTGAATAATCTTGAGAAAGTTAATGGTAATGATTCTGATGATGATGAAGATATTTTACAAGAAGAATATGAATCTAGAGCTGATTGGGTAATACTATCCTGAATGATGTCAAATAGACAAAAATGCAATTTAACTAATTTTTTTGATAATTGAGATATTGACATAAATTATGACTGAGTTGGTGAAAGCTGGACACAATTTTCTAAAATTGAAGAAACAGAAAGTTTCATTAAGTAGGCAATTAATAATAATGATGCAACTCAAATCAGGAATAATCAAGCAAATATTGATTGTGAAATCCTAAATAATAAACAACAGATAATATTTAAAAGAATTAAAAGACATTATATTGCTTTAACTTTAAATAAATCTGTAGAACCTTTGCGAATTATTATTATAGTACTGCTGGAACTGAAAAATCTTATCTAATAAGCATCATCCAGAATAGGCTATAAGAAAATAGTATTATACTTGCTCTAACAGCTTTAATATTTAAGGTAGAACTATCCAAAATTACAAAATTGAATAAAAGATATCTAATATATTATTATCGATAAAATGAGCATGGTAGGCTGTCACTTTCTTGCTCTAATTGATTTGAGACTGCATCAAGCATTTTCAGATCATCTAAATTAACACTTTGGTAGCTGATCTATAATTCTTATTGGCGACTTTGAACAACTTCTCCCAGTGTGTGATCTTCTCATGTATTCTCAGGATTATTGACCATCAGATCTTATATCTGAGGATAGACATAATACCTATAGCCAAATCTAAGAAGTTTATAAACTTGAAGCTGCATAATGACAAATTGTTAACTCAGATGAACAATGCTAATTCAGGAATCTTTTGTCTCACTTATGTGATAGAGAATCTATACAATCTGATTGAAAATTGTTGATGACGCAAATCTCAGAAAAACTGTCAAAACTAAAGCAAAAAAAATTTTCAAATATTATCAACATTCTTACAATATGTGAAGAAGTCAATAGAATTAATGCTAATAAACTTGGGTCATTAAACTAACCTGTTGCTAAAATTTGAGCAGTTTATACAGGTAGCACTGAAGCTTTAAAGGCCAATTCAGATACAGCAAAAGGTCTTGAACCTGAAATATTATTAGCCAAAAATGCACGTGTAATGCTTATCTCAAATTTCTGGATTGTTACTAGTCTTGTGAATGGCATAATGAGAATAATAATAGATATATTATCAAAGAGAAATCTGAGCACACATCATTACTAACTGCTATTTTAGTTTCTTTTGACTAATATCATGGTCTAACTTTTACAAACATAGATGAAATTCTGGTTGTATCTATTGTTCCTATTTGATGCATATGAGAAAGCAAATCTGGTATTTGCTCTCGACTATAACTTCCACTTTCTTTTTTATAGGCTATTACAGCTCACAAATCGCAAGGTCTAACTTTACTGAAAGCAGTTATAGAACTTGGTAAGAGGGAATTCGCTACTGGTTTGTTATTTGTAGCAATTTCCCATATTTATTCTCTTAATAATATTATTTTCAAGCAGTTTGATTTAGTAGAATTGAGTGCATAAAAACTGTAAAAGGTTAAAAGAATAAATAGCAGAAGAAAAAAGACTAGCTGAAATGGAAACGATCTAAATTTCTTGCAAAAAAATTTTTGCTTTTCGTTATTTAGCGAAAGGTTATGCAATCTACAATCATATTACGTGATTTACACTAATATTACATGACTTTTAATACAAGTATTATGTGATCTTGTATATTTTTGCTTTTAGTACAGGGGATTGTTTTATTTTTTTATTTTTATTTTTAGTTTATTTTTAGTTTATTTTACATAATCATGATGTATTTTCAAAAAAGAAAAATAAACTGATGATTGTAACAGGAACAAAAAATGGGAGTTAAAATAAATTTTGTTAAGTCATCACAGTAAATAGTCTTTTGCTAATGTTTCAGACAATAATTTACATTGTATCAAGTTGTTCTAGATTTATTTTTGAAAATATTGATAAATTAATAAACGAAATTTAATATTTATCATATGATTTGATTTTTAGTCAAGTTAAATTGAAAGATTTGTTTCTTATTGTATTTTAAATCATACTTTAGGCTCTTTTATGCCTTTGATAGTAAATAAAAAAACTTAATAATCATGAAAGTATGCTTGCAAGATAGTTTGTTTTTAGATAAAAATTCAAATTAACGTAATTTTGATTGCATTTCATAATAAAATTATTTTTTAATTATGCTCATTGCCAAATATATTATAAAGGTTTGGCTAAGGCACAGGAAGATAACTGAATGAAAACTTATATTTTTAAAAGTAACTCCTGTGATTTAGAGAAAC